AGATGTTACCGATTTAGAACAATCACAATGTTTTGAAGTCTACACACAAATTACGGAAGTGCAAAATCGGTAAACTGTCTAACGTGATTTCATTTTCCTTGTGAAGCAGGCGCTTAGCAAGCCATTTTTTCGTATAGGCCCGATATGTTGCAAAGCTTTATGTTTAGATAGTATTGAGGGCTTCCCCAACCTTTAAAGCAACATTCACGTGTAAACCCGGGCTATTTTTATAATGGTAGCTACGCTCCTGTGATGTTCACATTCTAGTCTTGCTGGGGTTGATTTATGCATCCAAATCAAACCCCAACCTGCCCGCTTAGCGAGTTGCCCAGCAATATGGCGTTCACAAGTCATAACTGTATACAGACTTGAATCTTATCGTCAAGTGAGTGAATCTGAGTAAATACAGCTTAACGGTATCCTAAAACGAACAACGTCAGTGATAATCCTCGAGGATTGGTCCACGTGACCCTGAACAAAATTACATATACATCGCCCACCAGGTGGATAATGTTCTACCCCAAACGCGGGTCGGATGGAAACACTAGTGGAACTCATAACAGACCAGTTAGTGTAAATACAACACGACATCGATTCATTTTGGGGGGAATGCTTTCGTTGTCTCTTAAATGACCAACCAAATGGTGTAATCTAACGACGTCTTATTGACATTACGTAACACGTCTGGGAAAAAATGTCATTGTATTCACTTCAAGGACTCGTGTTTGTTTGCAAGTAAACATCAGTCTCTCTATTCTCTGTGCATCACAGTTTTACGTGATTCGCGTTTCCTTTGCAACTGTGTATATTCAGGTCTCACAATCACACCCGACCCTAATACCCACATCCAGCTGCCACACGAACATGAGGTCTTACACCCATATCAAATCTTCATGTAGCTCATACAAACCGAACCCTATCACCAACATCCCAAGTATGTATCTACATGGATCAGTCGCATTCACACACAAATAAAGTTCTCAGAACCAAATCCTCCGAACATCCAAAACCAGTTCTCACATCCAAGTGCAGCCCTTACATCCAATTCCAGCCATGACAACCAAATCAGGCCCCACATCCAAATCCAGCCATCACACCCAAATCTCGCCCCACATCCCAATCCAGCCATTACTTCCAAATCCAGCCATCACACCCAAATCTCGCCCCACATCCCAATCCAGCCATTACTTCCAAATCCAGCCATCACACCTAAATCTCGCCCCACATCCCAATCCAGCCATTACTTCCAAATCCTGCCATCACACCTAAATCTCGCCCCACATCCCAATCCAGCCATTACTTCCAAATCCAGCCATCACACCTAAATCTCGCCCCACATCCCAATCCAGCCATTACTTCCAAATCCTGCCATCACACCTAAATCTCGCCCCACATCCCAATCCAGCCATTACTTCCAAATCCTGCCATCACACCTAAATCTCGCCCCACATCCCAATCCAGCCATTACTTCCAAATCCAGCCATCACACACCTAAATCTCGCCCCACATCCCAATCCAGCCATTGCTTCCAAATCCAGCCATCACACCTAAATCTCGCCCCACATCCCAATCCAGCCCAAATCCAGCCACACACCCAAATCTCTGCCCACATCCCAATCCAGCCATCACACCCAAATCTCGCCCCACATCCCAATCCAGCCATTACTTCCAAATCCTGCCATCACACCTAAATCTCTGCCCCATCCCAATCCCCAATTAAATCCATCACACCTAAATCTCGCCCCACATCCCAATCCAGCCATTACTTCCAAATCCTGCCATCACACCTAAATCTCGCCCCACATCCCAATCCAGCCATCATCCAAATCCATGCCCACATCCCAATCCAGCCATTACTTCCAAATCCTGCCATCACACCCAAATCTGCCCCACATCCCAATCCAGCCATTACTTCCAAATCCAGCCTGCCATCACACCTAAATCTCGCCCCACATCCCAATCCAGCCATTACTTCCAAATCCTGCCATCACACCCAAATCTCTGCCCCACATCCCAATCCAGCCATTACTTCCAAATCCTGCCATCACACCTAAATCTCTGCCCCACATCCCAATCCAGCCCATTTCCAAATCCTGCCATCACACCTAAATCTGCCCCACATCCCAATCCAGCCATTACTTCCAAATCCTGCCATCACACCTAAATCTCTGCCTCCCACATCCCAATCCAGCCATTACTTCCAAATCCTGCCATCACACCTAAATCTCGCCCACATCCCAATCCAGCCATTACTTCCAAATCCTGCCATCACACCCAAATCTCGCCCCACATCCCAATCCAGCCATGACATCCAAATCCTGCCATCACACCTAAATCTCGCCCCACATCCCAATCCACCAAATCCCAATCCCTGCCCCACATCCCAATCCAGCCATTTCTACATCCTAAATCCTGCCATCACACCTAAATCTCGCCCATCCCAATCCAGCCATTACTTCCAAATCCTGCCATCACACCTAAATCTCGCCCCCACATCCAATCCAGCCATTACTTCCAAATCCTGCCATCACACCTAAATCTCGCCCCACATCCCAATCCAGCCATTACTTCCAAATCCTGCCATCACACCTAAATCTCTGCCCCACATCCCAATCCAGCCATTACTTCCAAATCCTGCCATCACACCTAAATCTGCCCCCACATCCCAATCCAGCCATTACTCCCAAATGCCATCATCACACCTAAATCTCGCCCCACATCCCAATCCAGCCATTACTTTCCAAATCCCAGCCATCACACCAAATCTCGCCCCACATCCCAATCCAGCCATTACTTCCAAATCCTGCCATCACACCTAAATCTCGCCCCACATCCCAATCCAGCCATTACTTCCAAATCCTGCCATCACACTAAATCTCGCCCCACATCCCAATCCAGCCATTACTTCCAAATCCTGCCATCACACCTAAATCTCGCCCCACATCCCAATCCAGCCATTACTTCCAAATCCTGCCATCACACCCAAATCTCGCCCCACATCCCAATCCAGCCATTACTTCCAAATCCTGCCATCACACCCAAATCTCGCCCCACATCCCAATCCAGCCATTACTTCCAAATCCTGCCATCACACCTAAATCTCGCCCCACATCCCAATCCAGCCATTACTTCCAAATCCTGCCATGCCACACCTAAATCTCGCCCCACATCCAAATCCAGCCATTACTTCCAAATCCTGCCATCACACCTAAATCTCGCCCCACATCCCAATCCAGCCATTACTTCCAAATCCTGCCATCACACCCAAATCTCGCCCCACATCCAAATCCAGCCATTACTTCCAAATCCAGCCATCACACCCAAATCTCGCCCCACATCCCAATCCAGCCATTACTTCCAAATCCTGCCATCACACCCAAATCTCGCCCCACATCCCAATCCAGCCATTGCTTCCAAATCCTGCCATCACACCTAAATCTCGCAATCCCCACATCCAAATCCAGCCATTGCCCCACATTACCCTTCCAATCCAGCCATCACACCCAAATCTCGCCCCACATCCCAATCCAGCCATTACTTCCAAATCCTGCCATCACACCCAAATCTCGCCCCACATCCCAATCCAGCCATTACTTCCAAATCCTGCCATCACACCCAAATCTCGCCCCACATCCCAATCCAGCCATTACTTCCAAATCCTGCCATCACACCTAAATCTCGCCCCACATCCCAATCCAGCCATTACTTCCAAATCCTGCCATCACACCCAAATCTCGCCCCACATCCAAATCCAGCCATTACTTCCAAATCCTGCCATCACACCTAAATCTCGCCCCACATCCAAATCCAGCCATCACTTCCAAATCCTGCCATCACACCTAAATCTCGCCCCAAATCAAGCCTTAACATCCAAGTCTATCCCTCATTCTACATCCAAATGCAGCTTTCATATCCAAACCAAAACATCACAGTCAAATGTCGCTCCACACTCAAATCCATTCCTCACATCCAAACAAATTCCTCGCATCCAAATGAAACACTCAATTCCAGCATTCACATCCACATCGATCATGTGGTGTTAAGTATAGTGATAAATATACGTCTGTGATAGTTTTATTTAATTGCACCTCGTTGACAGGTTTTTATGTAGTTTGATTATGTTTCTTATTAGTGAGGTTGACAACACATGGCTGAAATACTGCCCATGTGAGTATAAACCTTAACTCCTAAGTCATTCTAATCACTTTTTAAAGAAAGACTATGCCTTATCTGCTATAATTTAATGCAAAAGTAATTACAAAACCCAGTTAGATAGATCAAAGTAAACAAAAATGACCTTTCATAACCGTTCCTGGCAAAGGAATTACACATTATAACCTGATATAAATCAGTTGACGTTTTAAACACATTAAATTTGTTGGGCCTGGGCAAGCTAGGCAAGCGTGCTGTTTCATTCCTTCTCGGCCATCGGTCCTGAAGGGAGCCTTGGAATATGCATGAATTTCACTCAAATGTTCTGTGTACAGTGATACAATTAGGCGGGTAGGGAATTCCATCCACTGTAACGTTTATTCCCAGGAGGTACGTACGTAGTGGTGGAAGTAGTTCGCTTCAGTGCGCGTGACCAAATCATCCTACATGAATGCAAGAATGTGAAAATAATGAAAATGTAATAATTCACTGACTCACTTCCTATTCACACAACCACATCCAGTCATTAGATCCACGTTCAACCCTCGCACCTACACCCAAGGATGTATCCAACTCCTTGGAATTAGAAGTATGCAGTGAAGTCTCACTGGAAGGACTTATTACCTGTCTCTTAAGGCTTGTCATTTATGTCCTTCCAGAAGACATACATTGTGTTATCATATGACCTCATTCTAAACCTCATGCATGTATGTTTAAAATAGCTTCAGTAAAATTCAAGTACAACTTTATCATCGCCAGGAGTGCCACATTGTCTGCACTTTAACCTTACAGTCGATAGCATTATAGTCGGCGCACCTGTAGAGGAAACAACTACGTGTGTACATATATACAGAGAACATAAGAGTGTAGCACGACACATAGATATTATATCCAGGTCTTACATCATGTTTTGGGCAGTCTTATTTGTATGCCTTTTGCAACCTTGGAGTCTCTCTGGAATTATTATGCCAAACCCGAGTGGCAGTACAAAAGCGCCTAGCCTACAAAATGACATCACAAGCCTGACACAGACCATCCAGTCAATGCAACAACAGTCAGCTGCTGAAATTTCTTCCCTGAAAGCTGAAATCCAGGCCATGAGAACTAAACTACAGCAATCATCGGATGAACTGATCCAGGTGAGGTCAGAACTGGACAGCATGAAACAAAATGCATCAGTACAAATGGAGCAGCTTGCAGATCTGCAATCGGTCAAGGAACAGGTATTCAATTTGTCCGAAACCCTTGGTGAGTTATTTGTATACATTAATCATATACTTCCCATCAAAAGTTTAGACTCACTAGTGTAAATATAGCCACTTACTTCAGACAACTGTTCTAAACTTTATTGCGAAATATTCCATACTGTTTAAAGGTACTGTTTACACATGAACTGATGTATTGTAAAACATATTCGTAACGTTGGAAAAGATTATTGTCATGACTTCAGTAAATGATGAAAATCAGTGAAATTTGGCCAATTCTTAGCAAAACTAAACACCACAACGCAGCTGTTCACATGCACGATGATTGCAGATTTTCAGCAATTTGCAATTGATGTATGATCCTCGTGCAATTCATCTGCATAAAGTTTGCAGTTGGTTCTCCCAAGTGTTCGTAGAGAAAGCAATTTTCGATGTAACCATATATATATATACACACACACATATACATAACATATAGTGAGTGTTTTAAGTGAATCTAAACTTTTGAAAAGAGGTATATTAAAAGTAAGTTTCATCCTTCAATGATTTAAGCCACACGAGAATCAAATTGCCTTTGTGAGCATGAGAAAATTAGCATACAATCCACAAACTGACCACAATCAATTCCACCTTCCTATATCGGAATCCAATCATGTGATCCCTCAGTACTCCATGGGTCGGTGGAATTATTATCAAACTTCAACTTATAGGTAAGTCTTGTTTAATTTTATAATCAATGTATGTTACTATATCATACTGTGTGGCATATATGAGTGTTTTCACATAAGGACACTGAAATGTATAACATTTACAGCTCAGACAATCAACGCGCATAAAGGTGGGGGTTGGGGTGGGGTTTGGGTTAGTAATGAGGGTGGCATTTCTCATCCATTATCTTTGTTAGTATAGCACATTTATTCAACTCTATTATTCAGCATCGAAAACCAGAGATGTGGCGTTTCACGTAAGCCGGCTTGACGGTGAACAGACAACCTACATACCTCTGAAATACCTCAAAATCCTCTACAACTCTGGGGATGGCTATAACTCCACCTCAGGGACGTTCACAGCACCCGTCTCGGGAACATACATGTTCTGGACACAGATAGAAAATATTGAGCCAAACACCTACATGGATGTCTGGATCATGAAGACTGGGAGAGGAGATATCCTGGCCAATGGTTGGGTGTTAACAGATTCTACTATCGACGACGCTGTTGCTAATGCCCAGACTGTCCTACACTTGGAAATGGGCGAGGAGGTATGGGTGGAGATAACCGTGGAACACGAGCTAAAGGATAGTGACTCATCATACTTTGGTGGAGTCCTGTTGTCAGTTCAATGACCACGAGTCCACAATAAAGCAACACGTCTTCAAAGAATATATGTGTGATGATTACCTGATCTAAAGTCAGTCAGTCGCCTTCATGATTAGTATAGTGTTCATCAGTATTAACTAAACAATCCCAAACAGTAATAGAGTATATGAAAAATATATTAAAGTATGCCACGTTCCACTTAAAACTGAAGGTAGTGCCAAGGATCGTAACAGAGTTAAGGTACGATAGATTCAAATTAAGACAAAATAGCATAAAGATTTTAACAAAGTAGAGGAAAGTAAAGTTTCTTACCTGAGCGAATTGACTAGACAGCCACCGATTGTTATTGTGTTATTGTGAAGTTAGGATTATATCATTTAGTTTGACCGAAGCAACGATGATAAATATGGACAATAGCTGACCAGTTGCGAGTATACCACGAATGTATATTTGGCACGAGCGTGATTTGACAAATGTGGAATACAAACAGCCGTTTATGTCCGATGCTCGTTATCAATGTGACCCTTGGCAGGTTACAGATTGAGGAACGTGGTCAGTTAGTCTCTAATATTTCCAGTTTTCAATAACATAACATCATAAGATATTGGTAAAAATATTGGGTAGAGATAACCGTGGAACAATGATTAAAGGATAGTGACGCATCATACTTTGGTGGAGTCCTGTTGTCGGTCAGTCGCCTTCAGGATTCCGTGTTAGAATTGGAACCAAGCAAAGGATGTTGGCACTGAACTAGACAAATACAGCAGGTGGTCGGACAAGGTGCAATGTTGATTGGTCATTTAGAACTCAACTGTGCTGATTCATGATCACAATATCTTTCATTGCATCATCAGCCAATATTAAACAATTTGATTTGCAACTGCTAATGTTTTTGACATGGAAAGTGAAATGGAGATAGGATGCAGGAACATATTCTATTTCAGGGTACTGTTGGTGGTAATGGTGTGTGTAAATGAAACAAATTGTTTTGTGACTGGATTTTAGATTCTTTACATCATGCTTGCCAATAAAGAGTCCTTTTATATTCATTTTACTAGGATGCAGCATGTGGTATTTCATGCAGCAAGACTTTATCTCATTAATAAACCTACACACCTCTGACTTTTGACAAGACCCGCAACAGCTCTGACTCAGGGTGTAACTCGCTTCAGGGATATTCACAGTACCAATTTCGGGAAGCTACATATTCTTGACATAGATAGAAATGAATTAACTAGACACCTACATGAATGTTTAAATCAGGAAATCTGGAAGAGGAGTGATTCCGGACACTGATAACGCTTCTGTTCTTCTCAAACTTAACAAGTTCTTGGCACAGACGTGCGAATCAAATGTTCAAATAAATATTTGGTTAATAACGTCGAAGGGTTTTAACAGACTCGAATATTTGGCTCAGGTTGTCCAACATTTGACGAGCAACATTTGAAAACACAAACAACTTGAAAATGACAGATCAAACTTTTGTGGCGTACTGTTGTCGACCAACGTTCACAGTATCCCATGCTGGTCAGGGTGCCGTTCCACTAATCGATCTTAACAAAGATCAATCTTAGCAAGTTACGCCAATTTTACAATCGTCTTAGCTAAAAGTTACACCCGTTCCACTAACCGATCTTAGGCCGATCGTAGCCGGTCCCGATCTTACGATCCGATCCAAGCTTAGATCGAGACTCTTTCGTGCGAGAGATAGAGGAATGCGAGGCACGAGTTATCTCCCTTTGCATAGTCTAGCAAATGATGGAAGTACTACGAGTACTACGAGTAGTTTACGAACCAACTGAGTGAGTGAGTGAGTTTAGATTTACGCTGCCCTCAGCAATAGTCCAGCTATATGGCGGCGGTCTGTAAATAATCTAGCTAAGATGCATAGCGTTCACTAGCATGAGCGTTCATGTTAGTGAACGCTATGTATCTTAGCTATAAATAATCGAGTCTAAACCAGACAATCCAGTGATCAACAGCATGCGCATCAATCTGCGCAGTTGGGAACCGATGACATGTGTCAACCAAGTCAGCGAGCCTGACCACCCGATCCCGTTAGTGGCCTCTTACCACAGGCATGGGTTATTGAAGTTCAATATTCTAACCCGGGCCTTCATGGGTATTTTTCCAACCAAGTGTAAACGTGGAGAAAAAACCTAGAGCAAAATATTAGGGTAGTGAGCACCTTGGTTTCAGGTGCAAGTGCGTGAGAACGCTGGGTATCAAGCATAATATAATATTAATAAATGCATATTTATAGTGCGCCTATTCCACATCCTTGGGCATGCTCAAAGCGCTGTGTACAGATAATTTACACAAGAATATTTACAGCCGAGATTATAAGTAATATACTGAGAACAGGTTTTAAGTCTGGACTTTAAAAATGTCAATTGTGTCAGAGCTTTTAATATGTGCCTGAACATTGTCAATCAGAATAAACAAGGCGTGACGAGGCTATAACGTATGTAGAATCTGTCAGTGGTCTTGAATAACACGCGGCCTGCCTTTAGAATCCCCCACCAAATATGCGCAGTGAAATCAAACATATTTGTATCTTTTTGCTTCAGAACATTGTTCACTTCACGGCTGTCCCTATTCTTAACCATGACGTTGCAATATTGTTGTACAAATGTGTTACACCGACTCGCTCGGTTGTGTTCCCATGACGACAGTGGTCAGACTGGCCTGACATTTGTAAGGCTTCAGTGCAGTGTTTGTTTACATCACAGAAATATACAAATTCATTTCATGGGGGGACTTTAGGGGACGCTTACGGTGAAATGCTCGCTCTTATTTTTCACAAAGAATAGGAAAGTCACCATTTTGGTTTCTCTACGATTGATTTTAGCTATCCTAAGTTGGTCATGAGCAACTTAGACTTTGAATCTTAACTTTACGATTGACTTAGGTAAGATTGGTTAGTGGAACGATGTGCCGATCGTAACGTCACGCTAAGATTGGGATTTTAGGGGTTTACGATTGGCATAGGGCTAAGATCGGTTAGTGGAACGGCACCCAGGTCCGGTGGCATTGTTGATGGGTTGGCATCTTATCAATACTACAATCTGGCGCCATGCAGCTTGGATCCTAAATTCGCACTGGTTTTAGAACAGGATCGGCATGTACTTTTTCTATTTCTATTTTTCATGACCACAGTGGCACATAGCTTTACTAAACAAATATGTATGACGTCATCTGGCCTGCTATACCCATACCTAGTATTAAAACGCGAGTGTTAGGGATTCAGCTTGCTTGGCAAGAGGTTGACAATACCAACCCCCTCACAGCACATCAACTAAGTAAATGAACGAGGAGTTTATTACACAGCCACTGAATGATCTTGTACATAATCGGTCAATAATAGAAAAGTTTACAATTAGTTATTAGAGCATGTTCACAATACAATCATCAATCAAAGTACACAACCAACACATGTAGATTCGTTACACATACTACATTAATCACGATACACATTCAAAAGTATGCAACGTAATTAAAATTGTTCAATACTGTACACATCATCCTAGTGGACCTTCATACAATCTACATTCTATAACAGTCACAAATAAGTAGAGTGTTGATCAGTATTAAATAAACAATCCGAAACAGTAATACAGGGTATATGAAATATATATTAAAGGATGCCTCGTTCCACATAAACCTGAAGGTAGTGCCAAGGGTCGAAACATATAGTTAAGGTAAGATAAATTCAACTTAAGACAAAGTAGGATAAATATTTTAACAAAGTAGAAGAAAGTAAAGTTTCTTACTTGAGTGAATTGACAGCCACCGATTGTTATTGTGTTATTGTGAACTTGCGATTAAATTATCATTTAGTTTGACCGAAGCAACGATGATAAATATGGACAGTGGATGACCAGTTGCGAGTATACCACGAATGTATATTTGGCACGAGCGTGATTTGACAAACGTGGAATACAAACAGCCGTTTATGTCCGATGCTCGTTATCAATGTGACCCTTGGCAGGTTACAGATTGAGGAACGTGGTCAGTTAATCTGTAATATTTCCAGTTTTCAATGAAATATTAGTAAAACTTTGTCCAGTTTTCCGTGTTAATACTAGGGTGACCTTCCGCTCAAACGCATCGGTAATACAAGAGTATTATCACAACTAAGGTGATAATAAACACAAGATAAGACCTAAGAACATTTATCTATATCCGTAAACTTCCGACTTTGCCGTGCCTAATTCATCAATATATACTGCCCATCAAAAGTTTAGACTTACTAGTGTAAATATAGCCACTTACTTCAGGCAACTGTTCTAAACTAAAGCTTGCCAAATAGTCCATACTGTTTACACATAAACTGACATATTGTAAAATAAAGTCGTACAGTTGAAAAGATTATTGTCATGATTTTATTAAATGATAAAAAAATTGGCGAATTCTTAACAAAACTTTACACCAAAATGCAGTTTTTCACATGCTCGATATTGCACATGCTTTTCAGCAATTTGACGCCTGATCCTCGTGTTAGTCATCTGCATAAGGTTTGCAGTTGGTTCTCCAAAGTTATTGGAGAAATCGATCTTCGATGTAACCATATATATATACATAACATAAAGTGACTGTTTTCAGTGAGTCTAAAACTTTGATGGGAAGTATATTACAATCAGAAAACAAGTCTGTCACAAGTTCATCTTTGGCCATCCCGTGAAGTAGCCCTGGAATTCGATATCGCACAAATGTTTCATATAAGTTATCTCACTCACACCTATGTCAGAAATTGTATTCTGTAAAAGTGACCAGATATCGAACCTATCCGCCTTGATTAGGTGACTAACCAACCGACCAACCAGCCGAAGAAATGTGATATTTTAGATTATCAAATGTAAGTATGAATATACCACAATGAACACAACATTCAAGCTTTTGGATAATGAGCAAACGGCCAATGTCCGACCACTGCCCCTTCGGAACTAGACTGACTGACTGAGTTTTGGTTTTACACCGCTTTTAGCAATATTCCAGCTACATCAAGGCGGGGGACACCAGAAATGGGCTTCACACATTGTACCCATGTGGGGATTCGAACCCGGGTCTTCGGCGTGACGAGCCAACGCTTTAACCACTAGGCTACCCCACCGCCCCCCTTCGGAACTAGAAGTGAGAGACGCCAATGAAATCGCCACGAGTGACATATTTAGATCTATGCATATAGATAAACAGTCACACTGGCCCACCTCCTCCCCCTCCAAAGAAAAAAATAAAAGAAGGAAAAGACCCTTTCCATTTTGTCGAGTATTATTCCACCTGTATCTGGCTTTGGTATCTACATTTCACATTCGAGGCACAATCCAATGGGTTCTTTATGTGAAGATTTCAACAACAGACATTGCCACTTTTGATCATTATTAGACATGGTTTCAACAATCAAGTTTTCAGCAACGATTTAAGATGTTTTATGGTAGACGTATCGAGGACATTTTGGCATTTGACGCATACGTGACAAAATATGATGAACATTTTAACGTGGTCCGGTGCTTTTGTCAGGTGAACAATTGACATGCCTGTGCCTGTGTTTGTCTCGTGTGTCACTACGATGGGGCAAGATTCGCTCAACGTTTCGCGAGCACCTGATATCATCACTATTTAGATAGTGATTAATGAACACCTGCGTATGATATATTCGTCATCGTA